ACTGAACATGCATTTGATGTCCGTTTTGACCAGTATAAGAGGATATGCATATGGTCTAATTATAATCCTAGAATAAAAATTCTCTAATTGTTTTGAAACAGTACTATTATTTAAAAAACAACAAAGGAAAAGGCAGATACTCAATTCCTGTAACGGCTAAAAGGGCGAGCATGTTTGGTGGGACGGGGATTCGAACCCACGACCCGCAAATTGCAAGTCGAGCTCCTTAACCACCTGGCCATGCCGGGCCATCTGTTCGTTATACCTTGTGATTTGGAATGTTACTTTGATTGGGGTTCCAGTGTTTCCTGTTGCATTTCTTTTGCATGAAATTAAACGCATTATTGAAAGTTTCTAAGGAGTATTTTACAGTAGACGAATGGTGGCAAAATATACTTTGTTACTGACAAAGAAAGAAGAATTGTGGAGACACTTCAAGAAGACTATATTAAAATTCCAAATGTCTTATGCTCGAGTCACATCCTGGCAGATATTGACATTTGTATCAACAGAATTTGTTCAGCAGAAAAGTTTTAAAAGACCACATAAAGCAACAGATCAATAGCACTTCTTTAGTTTAATTTCAAACGCAGAATGATAATTTCTATCTGCAATGAAGCAACTTATTTAAACAATGTTTGACACAGAGCTCAAGAAATCCACAGCCTGCTGCAAAATTTGTTACTGAGATCTGTGCAGTCGTTCACTTCCACAACTACAAAAAATATCAGTGACAGAAAGCACAATGCCATTAATCAACAAACTGACTGTAAAAACTTGCTTGCTCAGAGCATTGTGCTGTCATTGTTCCACATGTAGACCTACTATACCGTCGAGTTTAGACATATACCCTGTGGGTTAGGAAACTATGAACTTAAGAAGTTTCAGTACCTTCTACTTAGTCAAATCTCCTGTCCAACTGTCACTTCTAGTGTATTAATCATTGAAAACAGTCATCGAATGGAATAACCTTAACAGTGTCATGAAAGAAAGGGTTCTTGGTGTAATGGTTGATCCCTCTCTTAAGCCATCCAAGTCGTGTGCTGTTGCTAGTGGTAGGGCAAATAGGATTTGAGGTTGTATTTACATACATATTGAACACAAACCTAAAAAGGTTATAATTTCATCGTATAGGTCACTGGTTAGGCCACATTTGGATTACTGTGTTCAGTCTTGGGCTCCATACCTTAGGAAGGACATTGAATAGTTGAAAAGGGTTCAGAGGAGGGTTACTAGAATGGTGCCTGGGATGGAGGGATTGTCATATGACGATAGATTAAGATCTTTGAAATTGTTTTATCTTGAAAAAAAGAAGAGCTAAAGGGGATCTGATTAAAGTGTTCAAAATCGCAAAGGGAATTGATAGTGTTGATGTATCATCTTTTTTCATACTTGACGGCAAGAATAGTATGACTAGGGGAGACAAATATAAATTTTGCAAGGTAAGAGTCATTTTCAGCTAAGACAATTTTATTTTTCTAACAGGGTAGATGAATGAATTGCCTTTGGATGTTGTGGAGGGAGTAAACTTAAGTGAGTTTAAGAGAAAGCTTGACAAATATATGAATGATAAAGGCTGGCTTTAAGATTTTTTTCAAATTTATCATAGTTTAGTTTAGAGAATGTGATAGCCGAGATGGGTTAATAGGTCCCTTGTTGTCCCTAAACGTTATGTTAACTAACACAGCACAAGTGACAAGAGTGGGGGAAAAAAAGACAGTGCTACCGAATGCCATAGAAGTCTTTGGTTATTTCACTCTGTTCACAAACTAGTACTTTTTTAATATAAAGTAAAGATAAAACACATTTTCATGCTGCAAACTTCTACTTGTCTAAGTATTGGTAAG